ATATCGCCTTGCTTATAGCATCGCAATATATCGGGATATATCGTATCGTGACCTCTCTGTCATGATATGTATTTTATCGCCAAATTCTTGCCAATACAAAGCCCTAGTTAGCATATAGCTAAAATCTAATGATGGTTATACAATAGCAGCTGCATTCTGACATAAGCTGTATGTTTTATATTCAATTAACGTATGATCTGATTAGTCGACTAATCAAATTAATAATAGGTGATTAATCTATTATAAAAATAATCGTTTGTGGCAGCCCTAATTTATAAACATAACGCAGATAGAAGTTTGAGGCTGACCGTACCTTCCCATCCTTGGAGTTTCCAGCCACTTGACCAGTTGCGATGGTTACCATGTCAGGATGCACACTCAGGCTGGGAAAATAAAAACGGTAAAAGTCATTAAACACTTTAATGCGTCTTTAAAAGATAAAAAATTAAAGTTTAAAAAGTTTAAACATGAAACTAATAGAATAATTTTACAACGTAAACAATCAATGCAGTCAGAGCTGGGGCAGACGCGGAGCCAGTGGAGTGGCCAGGGTGCCACCCCTGGCGTCTGATTGGCCACCCCCAAATGATTGACAAGCAGGGGTGGGGCTCGCATTTGGCAATAAAAGATGGTCCATTAGAGCTAAAACTAATTAAATATCTATGAAACAGCTGTAGTATCTAGTGTAGAGGAATTTAATTATTGGTATTATAAAAGTCACAATTTCCCCAAACCAAATAAAAAATTAATTGTAGCCATTTGAATTTAGCTTTGGTGGCCATCTTGGATTTTTAAAATAGATTTTAGAGTCTGTTAGGCATCACTCTCAGCTACCAACGCTTTGAATTTCAGCCTAATATCTCTAAAATCGTAAAACTGAGATTTCAAAATGACATAGGGATTTCTCTAAATATTTCTAAAAAATGTTTGAGGTCCAACTATTTAAATTTATTTTTGGTGGCCATCTTGGATTTGGTATTTACATTCAATTATTGTTAAAGTTTATTCTTGGCAACTACTATTCAAATTCTTTAGTCGTGTATTTAACAGCTGAATTATAACCCTTTGTAGCATTAGCAGTTAGCTTAAATTCAAACAAAAGACTGAATCATAGCCATTTTAATTTAGCTAGGGTGGCTGTTTTAAATTTTCAAATCTAGGGTAGTTTTTTTTCTTTTTTAATTTATATATATTATAGATATAAGATTTGTTCTTCTTTCTGCTGCTTTT